AGGAAGAAATACAGTACCTTGCATTACTTTGGGCTCAAAATACTTTAACCAATCTTACTTCAGGAGGATGTGTAGCGCATATAATTCACACTTCTCAAATAAGTTTGAAAGTAATTAAGTGAAGTGGCGAGAATGTTAAGGAGCACACGTAGTTTAAGGAGGATGAGGTTTACGATTAATATGATTTCTTGTGCAGGAAAGAATTTAGGCATGTTGAAGGCAACATTTGGCTCAATTTGTCAAAGAAACTATGTGCAATAGCGTGCACGAAGGTTAACAGCTCTGCCAAGGTTTGCCGTCCATGCATCCATGTTTTCAAATGTGAATTTTGCAATTTTGTATGCCACCATACAAATCGTTTGTCACTGATGGAATTGTAGAAGTCAAGAGTTGAAAAGTGGAAGAGCTGCAACCCCTCGATAGCACAGATTGATCAGTGCCTTAACGAGGTGACTGATCAGTTGAACGACCTGCTTGCGAGTACAGCGGATAGGCAGATCGGATTCTTTACACTTCGCACAGATGTTCTTGTTCAAGGGATTCAAATGCACGCTAAGAAATGGGTTGTCACCTATGGCGACCTCCTGCACGAACGTGTCCAAACCGTCAGTCGGCAGCTTCGCGATAGCATCCAAGTGAGATCACCTGAATTACTTATTTTTTAAGGCTCCATTACTGAATACGTAGGCAACAAAGGTATCGAACTCGTTAACACTTCGTGGTTTTAGTCCATTTAAAGGCAAAACTTTTGTCTCTTCATTTACTACTAGCTTGAAGGAAATTTAATATTCATATTTTTTTCTTTATCCCCCAAGACTCTTCTGTCTCGACTTCAAATCAAACCCTCTGAGAGAAGTCGTCTAAAATCCCTAGTGTTGACCATTCGAGACATCAACGACGTTCGAGCAGAGAATGAGGAACGACTTGCATGTATCGCACAATGTCATCATATACTCCGGCAGCATAAATTGGAAGTTACTGTTAGTGAAAGCGAAGACTTCGAATGTTTGCGTCAGGCCTGGCTGGGTCTGCTAAAACAGACACGGTTTACAGAGAGAAGCCTCAGTAGGCCACGCAAACTGTTTCGGTACAAAACCAAGGCGGAGGCAAACCAATTTTTTAAGCAGATCGAGAAATTTGTGCAGAAATTCAAAACCTCAGGGCCGGCAGCAGTCGGAGAAAGGCTTGATCGAGGATTGGGACTAATGAAGGTCTGATTGTATACAATTCATCCCGTCCTTAAGTACACATTGTAGTAGCACATTTCTTTTAAGATATGTGAGGCGGGGTGGATTTTGAAATTAGGACAATAAAATCAACATAATTCCACCTTTAAAAAGTGACAGACAGTCTCACACAAAAGAATATTAGATTTGTGGCCTCGAAACTGCTGCACCGATGACACCAGTCCTTTCAAATTCTCATCTTCTAAGCCAACTCTCAGACAGTGAGGATTCATAGACTTAAAATTCCACTGTAAACACGATAAACAGAACTACCCTTTTGCAGGAATACGGTGAGGAGCTTGCGAGTTTAACTGCAACTTACAACGAGCTTCTGTCAGCAGAAAGATTGTTTGACCTCCCAGTCACATATTCTGAGGGATTGGTTGATGTCCAGCGACAAATGGACTGTTTGGAGAAGATATACGCCATTTACGCTGATCTAAAAGTGAGTAGCATGAGTCTCGATCCGATAACTTGTTTCTCCACCGTCACCCACAACTACTCAGCAAATCTGGGCTTTTCCAAACAATTAGAACAGTGTATCTTACTAAACGGCGTTGCAGTCTTATGCCCATCGCTCAGTTTTAAGTGTTTATAAATTCTTGCATCCACTTTACCGATAGTCAGACATTCCAAATTATTTTATTATCCAAGTACTCTAAATTGAAAATAGTCTGGCTCACCCTTTCTCTTGCGCTTTCACACCTTGCAGAGTTTGCAAGAAGAATGGTCGAAGGTTTTGTGGCGTGATGCGCATCTTTCGGTTCTGGAAGACGAGGCAAAACGTCTGCTACAAACATTTCAAAAACTGTCAAAGCAGATATGCGAGATGGACATCAGCAGGGCCCTCAAAACACAACTGTCTGGATTTCGAGATTCTGTGGCCCTGCTAAAGGACCTCAAGCATGAGGCGTTGCGGCTAAGGTAGGAAATTTACAACAGTCACAAGATTTGGTCATCGCGTACTAAGTTAACTTCAAGATGTTACTGGATCAATTATAAAAAAAATTACCGAAAAGAGGACACAATAAAATGTTAGGCGAAGTAGAATCTGATTCTTTTTGATGGTAGGTTAACTTCTCATTGTTTATTCAATTTCAACGCGCAAATTTGTTGTCTATGTCTGTGCTAATTCCACCAAAACGAAGGCGAAAGAAGGGCAGGCTTTCATAAATTTCTTTCCCTGTCAAAAGTGCGATATGAATGACAGTAATTTCATTGTGATTTGAATTTGCGGATAGGGAAAAGGCAACTGAAACGAGTCTTACATTTTTAGTGGTTCTACTAACTCCAATTAAAGTGGTGTCTAGTAAGCTGATAAAATAATCTAACACAGGTCTTCCCACCGCAAAGACAATACTTAAAAAAGAAAAGATTAGCAGCTAACCTCTTTCCTACCTCACCTTAGGCACTGGTTCATGTTAGCGGAGAAGACCAAGCATGAGCTTGCTTTGAATCCGGAGAATTTCACCCTTGGAAATGTTTTTGATGTGCGTCTCGATCAGTTTTGCAACGAAATTAACGAGGTTTTAGGCATTGCACTCAAAGAATTTTCCATCGAAAAGGTACGCTTGTTCCAAATATAATTACGCACTAGTCTTGCCACACGCAACAAGCACCTTTTCTTGTGTTGCTTACTAAAATCAGTCTCGATGCTCACTAAATCATGGCCTTAGTCTGTCGCTCTTTGGGATAATATTAAGAGACACTGAATGGCAAGCGAATTATATTGCGGATGGTATTATTTGACAATTTGCTTGGCAGGAATTCTCAACCCTCAAAGACACTTGGGATGGTCTTCAACTGTCAGTGAAAGATTACGCCCCAGAAGGAACTAAAAGAGGTCTCATAATTAACACCTTGGAGGAAGCAATCCAGACTCTCGAAACCAGTAGTCTCAACCTGCAGTCAATAAGTGGCAGCAAATTCGCCGAACCTTTCATGGAAGGGATTCGAAGCTTGGAGAAAGATCTAACACAAGCAAGCGAGGCGTTGGAAATTTGGGACCAAGTTCAAAGCAAATGGCTTCATTTGGAGGGTCTGTTCTCAGGTGGCGACATACGTACACGCATTCCCAAAGAGGCGGAGAAGTTTGACAAACTCAATTTGTTTTTCAAAAAGGTGAGTGGTGTATTACAGGACAATTATTTAAATTTGCTGGCTCTTCCAATTGTTAGATTCTGGTTCTACAAATGATAGTGCTCTGACTATCGGTACAAGCCTTACAAAATAAGAAAAGGCAGAACATAAATTGCCAGTATCTGGGAGGGGTGGGGCCTACCAGCATTTCCAACGGCATGCTGCTCGGTGAGAGCGCAGTTTTAGAGGCTCACTTGTCCGTATAACTGAAAGGATGAACTTGACAGGCAAATTAGCATATAACTCCACCTCTCTATAGGCCGCCTTCCATAACGTTTCCTCCAGCCAATGCAACTTAGTCGGTATTTGTAAACAAGAAAGTATTCACAAAATTGTGTTTATTTCTGCATCTCCTTAACTGCAATCTCACTTAAACATTTTGGCAATTCTACTTGATTAGCATTATCATCCTCCATGAAGACTTAATTGGAAGAGGGAGAATGCGCTAGACATTTCCAATGCCTATCGTTCATTACATTTAGTAAGGGACGGGTTTTAAAGTGCTCTTCATGCCATCAAGCCGTATACCTACCCGAGTTCTATCCAGCAGTCAGAGAGTTATGGGAGATGACGCAACTTCACTTTACTGACATCTTCAAATCAAAACCGTGGTTAACTCTCAGCTCTTAATGCTCTTGCTGCAGAACACGGGAGAGGAGCAATTGCTAAAGACAGTCGTCACTTTCAACCCTTCTGGAAGAGATTAAGGAAGATCCTTGCAACCGCGAGACATGGTCTTCTTCTGTCGAAGTTGATGTTTCTTAGGGTCGGTTTCATTTTCCGCTGCCATTGGTGTACCTCCATAAGGTTTCTTTGATGACAAGGATTGATGTACTACTTGGACAGAATATGTGGCTTTTGTGCACATGTTGGCTAAAGGCTACTCGCAGTGCCTTACGTCCGTCCTGCCTAGAGTAAAAACAGATGAAGAGCATTCAATTGTTTTATGAGACGAAGATTGTTTAAACTAAAATCCATAGCATTATTTCTTTCCCTTACTTACAGACAGTCGAAGAGGCTATCAAAACTCCGTGCGTTCGTAAATGGTGTCTAAAGTCAGGACGAGTGGCAGAACTGCAGTCACTCATTACCGGCTTCGAGGCGTGTCGAAAGTCATTGACCACTTACCTCAAAACAAAGCGCAACGTCTTTCCACGCTTCTTCTTCATCTCCGACGATGAAATGCTGATTATGATCGGGTCAAGAGAAGACGACTGCCTCTTAGAGCACATGAACAAGGTGAGAAGGCCAAAGCACAGCATTTGTCTACCATACATCTCTGAACGTTGTTGTAGCGTTCGGAGACCTCCCATCGGGTAGACGAAGGAAGTAAGTGGAGCTGAAAGCATGAATTCCACAGAGAACAAAGTAATTAGGTCTGAGTACGGGCCGAAAGCCAGCCCACGCGTACAAGATCCAAACAAATCCTAAAGTGACCGCCAGAAATCAGGTGATCATTTAAGCAAAGTATTACAGCTGTATTTAGTAAATGAGCTCTCCGTGTACTAAAAAGATGTGCGCAACGCAGAACATGAACTCAGCGTTTTCGTCTTTACTTGAATCGAAAATTCCTACCATTGCTGACATTTTGAACAAACCGGTGAAATGCAGTCTGCTGATAAACATTAATACCGTCTGACATGTAACCGGATCACTTACTCCAACATTGAACGCCTTTTAGATGTTCGACAACGTAATGTGCTTGGAAATTGACAAAACCGATCAGCGTGTTCCACTGACAGTTGGAATGAGATCCACTGAGGGCGAAATAATAAAATTTAAGCAACCTGTAAGAGGCACTGACCCAGTTGAAGAGCGGATGATGAAGATAGAGGTGGAGATGAAACGGAGCAATCGACTGATAACGAAGGAGGCTATTTACCGGTACCGTGAAACAGCAACGAGGTGAGTTCACTCCGAAGTTGGTCATAAGTCGAACCTTTATCTGCTGCTACTTTCTGTAAATTAAGCTTTCTTCTCAAATTTTCGCAAAAAATACCAGCCTTTATTCCATTATACCCATTTCAAAGGAAATGCATAGAATGCTTCCAATTTGCATTTTTGGACAATAGCGAAGCAAAATTAAAACCTCTGTCTTGGTAAGAATGTCGATGCCTTCGATGCAAATGGAAGTTGTCCCTCAAATTTCTTTTCAACTCAAAGAAATATCGAAGAATCATTTAGAAGTACACAAGGAAGGAAATATAACGGCTCATCTATTACTATGACGTGGCACCAAGAAGGCCGTCCCAGAGGTGTAGTGTTTGGTCATCTGCTGAGTATCTGGAGCATTGATGGAATACGAAGCTAATAAATATTTCAGGTTGCAAAATCAACCAGCCGACTGAACCTGTTAGCGTTTATGTTTCTGGGTTTCTTTCCTGATGTGGTAGAAACGGAGGAACCCATTGGCCAGCCCAGATCTTGCTGGCCGATGATGAGCTAGGCCGAGATCCGGAAGCCGGAGCCGTGCTGGATCTTGGCATCAATTGCGGCCAGGAACACGTCTTATGGAAGGGAATGAGGAAGAAGGGGTGCTACTTGGTGGTCGACCTTGCCACCGGAGTAGCGCTGATTTCATTCACACCCTCTTCCCTAAAGCCACTACCAATACAAACAGACTAATTACCCATGGTATTTATTAGTTCATATCCATAGGACTAAATACAGTCTTAAGGAGAAGTGAATGCCTGGTTTTTGAAAAATTGACGTTCTAGCTACGCACAAGGCTTCAGTTGTGTTCTGGCCTCTCGCCCTAAGTGTCGCATCAAGCATCTAAAAAAGCAACGATCGTTTGTTGTTCATGTTTGCACACTTTTTTTCTGGATTTACCTGTGGAAGTCTTATTTTACTTGCATAAAAGTGCTGCGTCTCAATTAACCTCTCCTTTTGTAAGAGGTGAATGGGCACTGCATTTCCAAGGCATGGTGGTATTAGCAGCCAATCAGGTGTGGTGGACATGGGAAGTGGAGGACGCCTTCCAACGCCTCGGCACCAAAAGCGACAAGACGGCCATGAAGGCCCTTGCCGGGCAACAGCGAACCCAAATGGAAGAGATAGTCAGAATTATTCGCGGAAACTTATCTCCTAATGACCGCATCAAGCTCACCGCTCTCCTTATCATCGATGTGCATTCGAGGGATGTTGTTGACGGTTTCGTCAGAGACGGTATTATCGAAGTGAGCTTTCCAAAACCACTGCTAGATAGGGAATATTCTTTACTTATTTTAATATCTCTAAACATCAAGTCATCCAAATCATAACAATCCATTGCAAAAAGCTTTGCTAACGACTAAATGTAAATGCCTGTCACCAAATGCCCAAAGCTCCTTCAGAAACCTGCTTTCCTACTCAGGAGACCTACTTTTCATAGTTTGCATTTAACCGCTTGGTAACAAAATTGCCAGCGCTTTTAAGATGATTCACTATTAACGACATGCTTTGAACAAATTTTGATTGCTATATCCTGATTGACGCGATAGTGAATACGCCATTTTCTTCCCTAATATAAACTATTGACACGTGAACCACTTTACGTTAAAGGCAAAAGCATTTGAGTGGCAATCGCAACTTCGCTTCTACTGGTGCCGAATCAACGATCATTTAAGCATTCGCCAGTGCAACGGTGCCTTCAACTACGGTTACGAGTACATGGGTCTTAACGGTCGTCTGGTGATTACTCCACTGACAGACCGCATTTACCTCACCCTCACTCAGGCTCTCTGCATGCATTTAGGCGCATGTGTTGCCGGCCCTTCAGGCACCGGTAAGACTGAAACTGTGAAGGATCTGGCAAAGGCTCTAGCTGTCTTCTGCCTTGAGACCAATTGCAGTAATGCCATGGATTTTCGATCAGTGAGCCGAATCTTTTCTGGTCTCTGTCAGACCGGGGCTTGGGGTTGTTTCGACAACTTCAATCGCATCGACGTCAGTGTGCTCGCGGTCATCTCCACTTATCTGCGGCTTATTCAGGCAGCTCACCTTCAAGCCGCACGTAAATTTGTTCTTGAAAGCGAGGAAATCGCACTTAATCGTCAGGTCGGTGTCTTTATCACCATGAATCCGAGCTCTGTGGGTCGCACAGAACTGCCGGAATCACTAAAGGTGCAATTCCGACAGATTAGGCTAGCTGTTCCCGACCGAAAGATAATTTGCGAAGTAATGCTCTTCGCACAGGGTTTTTCAAGCGCTCGTGTGCTGGCAGCGAAGACCAATACTCTGTACCTTCTGGCAGACAAGCAATTGTCGCGACAGCTTCACTACGATTTTAGTATGCGTGCGCTGAAAGTCGTACTGCAATTGGCCGGGGATATAAGAAGAAGAGAAATGAATTCAGACGAAGTATCGGTGATGATTCAAGCTCTTCGAGAGGTGAACTTACCAAGGCTAATTCGTGAGGATGTACATCTCTTTCTTGACCTCATTGGTGACCTATTTCCAGGGTTACCATGTCCAAAATCGGAGGATCAAGAGCTTATGGAGGCCATCAAGGATTGGTTAACTAGCGAGCGATTCGCCTTATTAACGAACCAAGTGGAGAAAGTGATGCAACTGCACAATACAATGCAAACTCGACAGGCCTCAATGGTAGTGGGCCCAACTTGTGGGGGTAAAAGTGTGATAATTAAGGCACTTTTTGGTGCCAAAAAGAAAATCGGTGTAGCAACGAGCCTGATAACTCTGAACCCAAAGGACAGGAACGTAGAAGAGCTTTATGGTGCATTCGATTCGAATACGCAGGATTGGAGAGATGGTCTGCTTACAAGAATATTTCGTGATGCCAACAAACAGTCAAACAAGGTGGGAAAACTGATCAGACACCTTTTGTTTCCTTCGTCCTTCAAAAAGTTTAAATTTAGTTTCCTTTGATTTTATACTGCCATAATGACCCACTTTACATTTTGTTATTTTTAATGATACACAAGTGGAAAAAGTAGTCGCAATGCATTTATGCCAAGCATTCAAGCCGTAGCCTCGAGATGGTAATTTCATCATGCCTCCGATGGTGCTGCTTAAGCAAAGGGAAGTCTCATTTTTATAGCTGTACACCAGAAACCGAAGCATCGTAAATGCGAAAATAGGAGCAGTCATTCAATCAGATGTCAATAGTCCAAGGTAGTATGTACTACACACAAATTTATTCCACTGATAGTAATACTCATCTACTTTTTAAATTCCGGTACTGTACTAATTCTTAAACACTGTTTTGTCCCTTTTCATTTCTTTACTTGCTCTAGGAAAATTTTGTCATCCTCTTCGACGGTGATGTTGACTCTCTTTGGGTGGAGAACATGAACTCCGTGATGGATGACAACCGAGTTCTTACCCTTCCAAACTCTGAACGTATTCGCCTTCAACCCACATGTTTCCTTCTTTTCGAAGTTGGCGATTTGGAATGCGCATCTCCAGCCATTGTATCTCGTTGCGGTATGGTTTTTGTTGACCCGCATGATCTCGATTACTCAGCTTTATGGCAACGCTGGAAATTGAGCAATAAGGAAATGGATACCTTTTACATCCAGATTTTGGACAATCTCTTCGCAAAATACATTCCTCGTATCATGGCATTGAACCTCAACACTGTAATTCCTCTTACCTCCATTAGTCTTATCAATCAACTGTGCCATCTGCTTGGAAGTCTACTAATCGGTGTAGCGGAAGCCTCTGCAGACTGTCTAGAAGCTCTCCTTCTACACGCACTAACGTTCTCGATCGGCTCATGTCTCCTGAACGATGCTGATAGAGCAGCTTTCGATGAAAAGGTGAAAGAGATAGCTGCTCTTCCAAAAATGGAACAAGAAGAGGTTGGAGGCAGTGTTCCCGCAGGCTTCCTCCCTAGCACGCTTCCACGGCTAAGTGACTACTTTTTTGATCCACGAAACAATGCCTGGGTTCCGTGGAGTTCAATAGTGCCGCACTATCAGCACGAACCCGAGCAGAACTTTCCTGATATCGTTGTACCAACACGTGAAACTGTGGTGATGCAGTGGATTCTGGAGAGACACGTGACAATAGATAGACCAATTCTGTTAATCGGCGAAACGGGAACCTCTAAAACAGCCTCAGTAAATCAGTTCTTGGCTCAACGTAATAGTACCACCAATGTGAGTTACTCTGAATGGTTCCTGGTTTGAAAACTTGCTTTTGGCTTTCAATTATTATGGCATTGAGCAAGCAACGAACTTTTGAAGGCAACCGGCTTATACATGTGTGTGAATAAGGATTTTTTTAGATGCCATCTTGCGTTAGTTACAATAAGTTTAACTACATATTCATCAACTGTCGCTACCGCTCAAAGCTCTTGTTTTCTTCGATGCAAATCTTATTATTTGAAAATCAGTCACCACGAAAAGTTGCTCATGCATTCAACTAATGTTATGGTTTAGCAAATCCTCCGAGTCACATTCTCCTCCCGCACCACCGCCCTTGATTTGTACAACAGCCTTGATGCCAATCTGGAGAAACGCAGCAAAGCCCTCTATGGCCCTAGAACGGGTAAACGTCTGCTGCTCTTCATTGACGATCTGCACATGCCTAATGCCAATCCATATGGTGCCCAACAACCTCTTGCCTTCCTCAAGCTCCTCCTCACCAACCACGGCCTCTTCAGTCGTTCTAGCAGCGATCTCAAGTGGCGTCAAGTCTTCGATACTTCCTATCTAGCTGCTATGACAACGCCATGTGCGGGTCGAGGTCGTGTTGATCCTCGCTGTTTATCCCTCTTCTCGCTCTTTTATGCTGCTACCCCTAGCGATGCAACCTTAAGGAAAATATTCTCATCTATCGTCTTAGGACATTTACAGGCCGACTTCGTCGAGGCGATTGTTGAAGCAGTACCAGCAATCACGCAAGCAACTCTTAATGTTTACTCGTGAGTAGATATGAAACAAACTAATACAATCACCTTAACTAGGTTCCTCTTGCAGAAGCTACATCCTTCACCTGTCAAATTTCATTATGGTTTTAATATTCGTGACCTTCGTCGCATATGTGCTGGCCTGTGTCGTGCTGCTCCCAGTAGGCACACCACCCTTCCGCAAGTGGCTCGTTTGTGGAGACACGAGCTTTTTAGAGTTTTTGTTGATCGCTTGTCAACGATAGAAGACATCCTCCTTGCTAAGGTAGGAGGCTATAACTATTGAACTATATTTAATTAGGACAAAATTAATACCGAAGCTGAAAACTTGGATCCAGCATCCAAAGAGGACATTTTACAAGATCCTATACTTTTTGGTGAATACAAAAGTGTTCTGGAGGAAGGAAGTATACCGTACTATGAAGATATCGGCGATTATAGCAGCATTAAGGAAGTCTTTTCCCACGTAAGTCATTGGTGCCATGGTATGTTTTTCCCCTTACTGATGACTTCTAGTCTCGACATTTGTACTTAGTTACAAGATCGGCAGTCTGGACACACAAAACTAGTCCTATTCAACGACGCTCTGGAGCATTTGAGTCGCCTCCATAGAATTATGTGCACAATTAATGGGCACGCCTTGTGCGTAGGTGCCAGTGGGATTGGCAAATCTGCTCTTGTTAAATTGGCTGCCTTTGCAGCCAAGTGTGACGTCTTCCGGCTAAGCTTGAGCCAAAATTACAAAGAACAGGACTTTCGAGAGGAAATCAAAACTCTCTACTTGCAATTGGTGCAGAAGAATAAAAAGATGGTTTTTTTGGTTCATGAAGACGATATAATTGATGAAGGTGGGTCTCACGTAACATTAGCAAAGTACATTTGGCAGGTTTTTTGGAAGTGATCAATCACATGCTAGTTGGCATGGATGCAAGTTCACTCTACCTTGAAGAGGAACGGGAAATTATTGTCAATGATATGCAGCAGGAAGTAATGGATGCAGGGTTCGAGGCCTCAAGAGAAGTCATTTGGAAGTACTATTCACAGAAAGCCATGCGGAACCTTCATGTTATTTTAGTCATGAGATCTGTGAGTTCATTCTTGCTAATGAGTCCCAATTAATAGGAGTGAGAGGTCATTTAGTTACGTTACTCCCACGACTGGCTTTCTTGTTAGTTATAAATGGAGTCTTTCAACTAAACGATTCTTTGTTTTGCAGATTGGAAACACTTTAAGAAAGCGTTGTTCGAGTTTTCCTTGTCTTATAAACAACACTACGATTGACTGGTTTTTCGACTGGCCAGAAGAGGCCCTCTACACGGTGGCAAAAACAATGCTTTCCACAGGCAACCAGCTCATTCCTGCATCTTGCTACGATGCACTTATCGGCCATGTTGTCTATGTGCATCGGTCGGTGGAGCGGTATACAAATGAGTTCGTGGGGAAGTGGAAGAGGGTTAATTACGTCACACCCAAACAATTTCTTGACTACATTAGCAACTATCTAAAGTGAGTTATTGTGATGAAAACCTCAAGAATGTATGCGAGATATGGAACTTTGTGGAGTAACTGTGGATAACGAACCGCTTCAGCACCAATGGGTAGTAAAGTGATAAAATCATGTAATCAAGCTAGGCACTGGCGAACAACAGTGTCAGATCCACAAAAAGACGAAATACTCGCTAAAGGTTCAGTGCTGGTCCATAGAATAGTTCCAATCGTGTCGCTAGGAAAGACTACTAGAGATCGCTAGCAGCGGCATGAAGGCGTGGTTAAGACTTGGAAATGTGGCAGTAAAATGAAAATGTCTTGGCTTGACAGTTCGAGGAATATGAGTCAACGTCGTAGGGACAGACACCAAAATCCCGATGGCCAGCCTTGAGAAATGGTTCTTTTCCTGACTGAAGGAAACAGAGTCTTGGATGCTAAGGTTGTACTGACTAAAAGTGCCGTCGTGTTTTTCAAAAGAACGCAATTGGATGACGCTAAATCTCATCCATCTGGAAGAAGTACTCAATGACACGAAAGCAATTCAAAATTAAAAAATAAATTCGATGCACTTGCTGTGTTCAGCAACTTGACAAATAGAAAAACTGTGTTCTTGCCAATATAAACTCCATAGTGCAGAAGCTTAGCTTTTGTTTGGTAAGTACAATGATAACGGCTCAATTACTCTCACTGCCGCAAAATGTTCAACGTTTGGAAATGGACGAGGAAAAGGGCAAGGGTAACAGGTAGCCTACTGCTTGATGGATTGTTGGAAAAGGCCTCAAGTCTTCCCATCTCTGAAGCGTCAAGCAGCTCGAAAAATATTTAAAGTTCGTGGTGGTAATCACTTCCTCCAAAATAATAGCGTTGGCTTAAGTAAAGAACTGTAACATTCTGGAAGTATGTAGCCCTGATGGCACATACCAGACAATGCAGGGCAATACGAAAGTTGTGATAACTGTACTTGATGATGTGAACAATCCGAGCTTTGCTTCGGTTTTGGTTTTTCGCTTTCTAGGTTGCTCTCTGAATGTGACCAGTCTAAAGCGGCCCTTTGTGAGCGCTTCGTCAAGGGTGTTGCAAAGCTGGAAGATGCGGGCATTCAGGCCAAAGAACTCGGTGAAAAGCTTACGATTCAGAAAGAAGTTATAGTGCACAATAAGGAGGCGTGCGAAGCTCTCTTAAAAGATATCACACAAAATCAAATTCTCGCCAGTGATAAACGGGCACAGTCGAAGCAAAAGGCCGAAGAGATGGAGACTCTATCTAAGACGATTGAAAAAGAAAAGGTGACTGTTTCTTCTTACGGATGTTTAAAAGTACGAGTATTACAACAAGTTGCTTTGCTCACTGTCTAGGCAGCAGTAGAAAGTATCCTAACCGAGGCATTGCCAGCACTTGAACAGGCTCGGGCTGAACTAGGTGAGCTAGACAAAAGCGATGTGACGGAGATGCGCTCCTTTGTCAAGCCGCCGCGACCTGTTCAGGTGGTATCGGAGTGTATATGCGTACTCAAGGGATCAAGTGAGGTCTCATGGAAAGTGGCTAAGGCTATGATGGCTGACGTTAACTTTTTGCAGTCTCTTCAAACCATAGACGTTGATGCAATCGGATCAAAGCAGTTAGCCTCCGTCAAAGGTATTCGGACTTTGCTACCGTAATCAGAACATCAGCACTATTAAAAGTGCACTAGCTAAATGTGTTGATTAAACCTTGACTTCTCTTTTGTCATTTTATTCTCCAACTGGCCTTTTTCAAACTTAACATAGTTCCCATGTCTGGCCCTATAACTAACAGTGATTTTATTTTGATTTTACCACTTAAAAACATTCGTCTAACACGACTTTTGCAATGATGCTCGCGATACCTTTGGTGTTTGTTTTCCTTGACAATGTATGAGCATCAGCGGTTCTCGTTGACCGGCTTATTAGTGGGTGCGTGTAACTTAACCTACAAAAAAGAGTTACTGCTAGATTCAAATTGCTCCAGAAGGCAAACAAGATTGGTGGCATAGGGGGCTAAGAATAAGCCAAAGAGTAAGTTGAGGTGCAGCCTCTACGCAACACGTTTGGCGAGAGTATCTTGACTTCTTGCTTTGATTCAGAGCGCCTGGATACCTCGAAAGTCAATATGCAGCAAATGCAATTGGTGAGCCGGGCTGGAGCTGGCTTTCTGAAATTCATTCTTGCCGCCCTCGGCTACTGCGAGGTCCTCAAGGATGTTCGCCCAAAACGTGAAAAAATTGCAAAACTGGAGAAATTACTCACCCAAGTAACCGAACCTCCATATTTTTTATCCAACAGCAAATAATATTGCTCTTCAAAGAATTCAACTACCCATCCCTTATATAGGCATCAGCTCACCGTTTTAAATGCACGTATATTTATTTTCATCTTGTCAGCCAGAGACCAAATTGTTAGAAATGCCCAGACGATATGTAAACCCGCTTTGGTGCACACTATTGTCCGGCGATACAGCGTGCTGTGATTCTCATTGCATAGGCTCTGAGCCTATTTCAGGTGTTTGCTTTATCAAAACCACGTTTGGGAAGAGAAAAGTGTAGCTCATTCCCCCACGCTTCCCAATCAAGCATTGAGCAAAAATATAACCAAACTCGGTGATGCATTTGCTCGCCTTACACTTTACGAAAAAGAATATCTTTTCCATCTTTTCGACTGTAGAACGAGCATGATTTAGAAGGGGTAAAAAGTGAACTGGCTAAGGTGGAAGAGGAAATCAAAAAAAAGAACCAAGAATACTCCGCAGCCGAGACAGAAAGTCTAGCTTTGCAGGAAGAGACTGCAACCATGGAACAACGTCTGGCTACTGCTAACGCGTTAATCAATGGTCTTAGCTGCGAGAGCGTTCGGTGGAGGGAGCGAAGTGAGGCTCTAATTGAGGAGCGTCGGCATCTTGTGGGAGACTGTCTCATCTCAGCCGCATTCCTGACGTATACTGGAGCCTTTGTTCACAATCTTCGATGTCGCATGATCAACGATGATTGGGTCCCAGACCTTCAGAATCGTCAAGTATCCCTCACCAAACCATTCAAGTTAAATCATCTCCTTGCGGACAAGGTGACTGTGACAAGCTGGAAAGATGCTGGTCTGCCGGGTGATGAGTTAAGCATCCAAAATGGAATTCTCACTATGCGAGCCTCTAGGTTTCCTCTTCTCATTGATCCACAACAAAAGGTATTAAAGTGGATAAAGTGTCTGGAGGAGGAAAATAATCTGAGAGTAACCACCTTCAATGACCCAGATTTTTTTAAATTCTTGGAACTGTCGATCAAATTTGGGACTCCATTACTGTTGGAAGACGTTGGTAGTTACATTGATCCCGTTATTTACAATGTACTAGCAAAAAATATTCAGGAAGATAAGGTATGTGACATTTGTGCTTGTGTGTGTGCGATTCTGGAGATCCATTTACTTCAATCTCTCTTTAGGATCAACACTTTGTGATGTTGGGGAATAAGAAAGTGGAATATGACTACAATTTCCGCCTTTATCTCAACACAAAACTCTCGAACCCAGCATATGGGCCCAAGATATTTGAAAACGCGGTTGTTATCAACTGCTGCATAACAGAGGAAGCGCTGGAAAATCAACTGCTCAGAGTTATAGTAAAGCATGAGCAAAGTAGTTTGGAGGAGAAGAAGGCAATGTTGATGCATACTAAGAGGTTTGTGAAGGTCTCATGAAATAGTTAGGTTAGGTGGTTTGTCGTGAATGTTGAGCTGCTTTAATTATGTTATGTGGTACAAGCTACTTATTTGGGGTAAAAATCACCCTGTAGGTGATGTGAAATTCAATTAACGTTGTCAGGTAATGTTAACCTCTTCTTGCAGTGAGTGCAGACGACTTCAGAAAGAACTGGAAGAAAGTCTACTAATAAATTTAACCCTCAGCACTGGCAATCTGTTGGACAATGAGGAACTAATCAAAACAGTAGAAGTAACCAAGGCAAAGGTGACAGAAGCAAAGGGGAAGCTAGTCCTCGCTGCCAAGGCAGCAACAGAGATGGAGCAGCTGAGCAACGCCTACCGACCTGCGGCCAAGCGTGGTGCTCTGCTATTCTTTGTTCTTACTGACATGGTCACTATCAATCCCATGTATCAGTTCGCGTTATCCGCCTACATCGCACTTTTCGAAGACGCTTTACGCAGGAGCATGCCAGATACAGCCTTGGGGAAACGACTAGACAACATAATGACCTTACTGACCGATGTTGTCTACAGCTACGGATGCACCAGTGAGTATAGACTGGTACTTTCTTCCATTTGGATGGCTGTCACAAAATTTTTTTATAAACTTGACCCAATGGCGAATGTAACTGTCATTTCAAAGTGGAGTTTATGGATCTCAGAGCTTTTGTTTGCTAGCGATAGACGTTGTTGGTTTTATGGTCGAGAAATGGAAGATACTACGATGAAGTTTACGTGTTTACCAATTCCTGTTAGGCAAATCTTGTTTGCCATCACTTTGTGCTTAAAAATTTGCTGTTCAGTGGTTCAAAATTTGCCATTTCGACACGTGTGAATAGCAAGGTGTCGAGCTACCACGGATGAATCTATATGCTTCGACACTGGAGTGATAGAAAAGCCTCGCTTCAAGGAGATGGGACGATTGAGTCTAAATATAAAGACAGACCGACGTTTTATTTCTACTCTCATTTGACTCTCCCTCGGTATTTCAGTCGGTAGCACGCTCTTCGAGGAATGTTCGAGAAGCTGAAACAAGTAGTAATTTAAGGTTCAACTGTCATAAAGGAATGGACGTTGACCGTTAGCCAGTTTCGTATGCGCTTACCAGAGAAGGCAAACCAAAATTCAACTGAACAAGTGAAGATTAGTGAGTGGTTTCAATGTGGAGCATTATGTACAATTATTGTTCGGATTCATCGCGCCTTGGCTGGATACTTGTCCCTCTCTCTCCAGGAGACGTCGTTACCGCATCCATCTCGCAAGGCAGTACACCTGAGTTTTCAGATCGTCACTCAAAATTTGTGTTAATATATTAGAAAACAACAAAAGTTATCCCTCCAAAAGTCGAAAATCCTGTGACCAAAATAGTTGTTTTACTTTGGAGGAAGGAGAAGGATGTGTCCCTATTCAGCCTAATAGTTTTCCCCTCAGCCATAAAGGTCGTTGCGCGTGGAATTTATTTGAAGTTATGTCAACCCACCGTTGCTTAAGGTTGGCCAGCGTCTCGGAGGGGATATAGACGGAAGTGGCCTAATTAATCCTTAATGGTGCTATGACCATATGCCCTATCTCTCGACGCCAGGCCTCGTGGCGCCGACTTTAATGAAGACCGAGATGTTTTACCTATTCTAAAAGAACTAATTAAGGGAGTTACAGCCGGTGGCTGAGCTTATGTTCGTCCTAAGATGTTGAAGATATGTTACTCAACGCAGTGACAATAAATTCTATGAAACGTTATACCGCTAGTGTCTTGCCTAAATTAGCCGTAAACACCGGTGTGAGTTGGATGGACCTATCGTTCTTTTGTTGAACACAGCAAAATTAGGCTTTAAGATTTTACAATGCACGTTTAGGACGGAAGTAGATTCGATGGCGTGCCTAATTTGCGCCCGACTAAGCAGTGGCTGTCATTTTAGGCTTCTTCGAACGTCATAAGCTGCTATTCAGTTTCCAGATCAGCTTAAAGTTGCAACTGGAGGCAGGGTACGTAAGCCAAGCCGAAGTTGATTTTTTCATCAAAGGCGATGCTTCAATTGGAATGGAGACCGGGACCTGCCCAATTCCATGGCTCACAGATGCGCAATGGAGGGCGGTTCGGTGTCTGGAAGAAATCCTTCCCTCCACCTTTAGCGGACTAAGTAAAAGTCTTACAAACAATCAAAAACAATGGAAACAGGTGAGGATAATCACACAGTTCTGGCCAAAATCTTTGTTAACTTCAATTTTGATAACCCACTAATTTTCTTACACAGTGGTTTTCTCTCACTTCGTTGGAATGTAAACCACCTCCGAATTTTGAAAATATTTCTGAGTTTCAAAAGCTCTGCCTGCTTCGATGCTTCCGTGTAGATCGGGTGTGCAGAGCCGTAGAAATTTTCGTCGCAAACATCCTCGGAGAAAATTTTATGGCCTCGCACAAGCCAAGCCTGTCTTACGTTTACGAACAGAGTCAACCAGAAACGCCTGTTTTATTCATTCTCGGCCCCGGATCCGAAGCGACAGATAGTTTAAAAAAATTTGCCGAAAATTCCCTTAATTTGGATGTCTCTAAGAGCTTAGTAATCCTCTCCATGGGCCAAGGTCAGGAAAGCTCCGCGATGAAACTTTTCAAAACTGCTTCCTCTGAGGGTTCCTGGTTAGTGCTGCAAAATTGCCACCTGGTGGTGAAGTGGATCCCAACCCTAGAGAAGACAATTGAAACCACAAAACAGTTCCATCCAAAGTTTCGACTTTGGCTCACTACCGAATTTTCATCAGATTTTCCGATTGGGTTCCTTCACCGGTCACTCAAGTTTGTGATTGAGCCACTAGTTGGACTCAAGAGAAATTTACTTTCTACATTCCTGGAAATTCCTGCCTCCAAATTTGTTGAATGCTCACGGCCAGAATTCCCACTTTTGGCATACACACTCACCTTCTTCCACACAGTTGTTCAAGAACGTCGGCAGTATGGAAAGCTGGGTTGGAACATTGCCTATGACTTTAACCTGTCGGATTTCCAGGCAAGTCTTGCAGTAATCACAGATCACTTGGAGTCGTCTAGAGGCGAATCCGGTTTATCCTGGACCAGTCTACGATATCTCATTGAGGAAATCATATATGGCGGTCGAGTTGTGGACAAATTTGATCAACGTGTACTTCACACCTACATGATTGAATACTTTGGTGACTTCCTCTTTGACACCATTCAACGTTTCCACTTTTTCAGCAGTGAAGAGGTAACTTATACTCTCCCTCCTGAGACCTCGCAAGAAGGTATTCTAAGTAAGTGATATTTGTTGCGACGAAGCGCAATAGAAGCAGAAGCAAACTGGCTTCCTGTTTTTAGAGCACACTCTCTAACATGTGGGTTTTATTATCGAGTGACCGTAAACACGGTCCCTCTCACTGTAGACTGGGCAGTGGACGACTAACACTCTAGATTATGCATATGTTCATTCCGCTTTTTATGACACCCAATTTGTGAATTTATAGCCTAGGAATGTGGGAATTTTCTTATCAAACTTCGGTTGCATGTGTTTCATCAACGAGCGTCCTCTTTTAGACTAACCGCTTGTGCATGTTTGTAGTTTGCCTCCACTATTTCTATCCCAGTGACTAAGCTGACGTGACTCACCACGAATGAAGCAGATGAGTATACTTCCATGCGGATACTTTAACCTTCCAGTGACTGTAACCAATATAAAAGGGTTGGTAGTGGACATGCATGATACTGTCAAAAGGAGATTTCAGTACCATTCGATGTCGCCGACTTTGTTGATCCTCTGAGAGGACCAAGTATATTCTTTGTGCTTAGCTTGGCAAAGTAATCTGACCATTCGGATTCAATTATGGTTCCGCATTCACTGGTTGGTTTGCTTGTAGCAAATCTGTCGGGCTGTGTTACTAAACGACCTCTCGAAGGAAATAATTTGATTGCCTCCTTAGTTCCTAGGGCAAGATTGTCTCTCGCATATTGGTCATAATTCACAATGTCTCTAGATGTTGCTCTTTATGCACCTTTACAACAAGTCTGTCCCTAAAGCAAGCAAAACCCTTTTTAAATTGTGCTGCTTCTAAACCAGTAATCTAATGAAAGGAATAAACTCTAAAAGTTCCTAAATCTTGCTATGAAGTTCTATTTGAAACGTCATCAGCTACACAAAATCTTAATCCTTTGAACCATCAACTACAGACTTATTGCGGTTCTACCAATCCTTAACGTTTACAAGGGTACATCGAAACACTGCCAGCAAACAACTCATCGGAGGTATTGGGTTTGAGTGCCAATGTGGAAATCGACATCCTCACAAGCAAAGCTCAAAATCTCTATTCGTATCTGCGCACACTGAGTCGTGAGGATGAAATGACTAGCAGTACCGCTACTATAGCAACGACTCAAATGACCTTTATCATGGAGATCACAGAGAGAGTGCTTCAATCTCTACCCCCCACCTTCGACAGAGAGGCTATTAGAGCGACCTTTAAGGAGAAGATGGGTCCAACTGCTGTTGTGCTTTTACAGGTGAGATGGTGAACAGCAGAAAAAAATCGAGAATCCTAATGTACCATTTAAGGCGCCAGCAGATGCCGTGTGTGTACATGTGACACTCCACTTTAAACTGCGCACTCATTGTGTTGCATCGTTCTGCGCCTTGTGTACGAAATATTTCACACCAAATCCTCATTTGTTTTTTTTTCCGAGTTGAAGCTTTAAGTATAGATCTGGTGCTCTAGTGTGCTCGTTGAATTACAATGAAAATTCCGAAAAAACGATGCCTCCACATTGTCCCCTCCAGTAGTATTTGTGATTAAAAGTAGAACATATTCGCAACTTATTACTACTCGCTGTCCTCACATTAAATGTTTGTGTGTAATATGACTTTAATGAAATGCAGGAACTGGAACTCTTCAATCGTCTAATCCTTCAAATGCGCTCCACATTGACCAACTTAAAGCGGGCACTGTCTGGTGCGGTGGATCTTTCTAGTGAATTGGAGCAAATGGCGGTTTCTCTCCTCAGCGGTCAGTTGCCTGACCTTTGGCGAAATCATGCTCCTGACACGAAGAAGTCCCTGGCCGATTGGCTAACGCATTTCCATCGGAGAACGGAGCAATACAAGGCGTGGGTATGTGGGGAGTGGCCCCTCGTCAAGTCTTAAATGCCAGACTAATCCTAATACAACTCATAAATACGCAAAAATTAAGTACAAGGTAAATTTAGTCAGTTTTACATGCCTCCTTATTTCGAAGCATGACAAAATCAAGCTCCAAAACCATGGCGTTGACAAAATATTAAAACAAAAGCTTAGTGTTTTGCTACAGTCTTTTGTAAATTTCTGCTCCTGTTTGCGCGCTTGGTATTCTGGAGCAGAGACGAATGCCAAATGGAATCGTTGATAGTAAGGTCTGCATCTTCACGGTACAAAGGCTCAAAGTTTCTGCAAACGATGAAGGCTATCATGACATCACGCTAACTCAAAGAAGTAGAATTGGGTAGAAGCAAGTTGAGGTGTCAAGCATCACCTACTGTGCTTGCATTATTACTTTTTACATACCAGCTTATACCCAGCACACCAGGAGTTAGTCTTCAAATTCTCTTGATTAATTCTTTCATTCTAACACTGTAATAGGAATGTCCCTCTCGCATTGAGTCCCACAGGTCCATTTGGCGTAGCAATTAAAGCATTTGGCTCTTGCTCATCCAATTCAGACACGGCACCTACGGCTGTCTAGCTGCTTTGTCCCTTATTGTTTGCGCACTTTTACAAGCTTCAAGCGTTGATTTTACCGCATTAGCGCTTCATTATTTGCAAGTAAAACGAGGCTGATAATCCACCTCAGGATGCCCAGCTCTCCCAGTCCTGACGCGGATAGCAAGTGGCGGCTGTTATGCGTGCGGGGGTGAACTTGTTTTTTTTAATTTTGGAATTTGTTATATCCAATCAAACAGCACTAAATCGGTCACTCAGCTTTAAGACACCTGGACAGAGTAGTAACTCCAAAGGCGGCCGCATGTCTAGCAGCGAGAGTTTTGGCTGTGGTGGTTCTGTCTGCAGTCCAAAATGCACTGAGTCCCAAACGTCGGATAAAAGCATAGCCTTTAGTGTGACGAAAGTTTACAAAGAATAAATTCGTCTGTGAAAAAGGTAAACGCTAGCATTCACAAACACTTGCGACATTGCAAGGTAACCCGCGCTGGGCGCCAGCAGTGAGCAGCAATTGAATGCGATGAAGTGGCTCAACTGCATTTACTAATCTTCTTTGGGAGAGCTCTATGGGTGCCATTTCAGCATTACAACATGTCGATTCAAGAGCTTTTGTAGTGTCACAACATGAATCTCGGGTTAACTTTCGCTTTGCTTTTACCTGAACCACAAATATTCCTTCGTACACAAGATTATCGTGGAAAGTACTAACAAAAGTTCAAAGAAAATTTCGACATCGTTGATAGATGCTATCTGAAAATATCGCTTTTCTTTTATTCATTGGCACTAGCGCTGACGAAGTCATTTATCAAAATGAGTGCCTCAAACAGGTTTAGTTTGGGGGAGAAATCGCCTCACTCGTGTTCATTTCACTTTCCCATTCACGTCACATGTCTTGCCGCCGCAAAGCTATTCGCAATCTCTCACATCCCCGCCTCAGCATGACGAAATCCACAACTAATCCAGCTCTACGTCCATCACATTTTAAAAGTACAGACCAATCCTAATGTCACGCCTGAGTGAAGCAACGGCACCTGTAACCAGAAAATGAGGTTGTATCACGACCTCTTGCGCAACAGTATGGCACAATACTTCACCTCCATTATAACGGCTTTTACTGGTAGCATTGACCTTCTGATCCATTCCTGAATAAGACCACCAGTTCAAATAATTCGGTGATAAATTAGTATGACAAAGAAATGCTGCGGTTCTGAAGCCTGTGTTTCGTAAGTGAACACTTATGCCGCTGAAGGCAAATGGTACCTTAATAAATGACTTAATGGTGATTGCAAGCACATTGTATGTTTTAGCCTGATTCTCTTTAATCATCATAGGCATGAATTTTGGCCTTTGATGAATTAGATTTTAAAAACTTTAGCACGACAGCTTGACGATTAAGCAAATTGGGACAGTATAGTTTTAATAAATTACATAATGTGTTCATTTACGATACGCAGGCTGCCTCAGGTGAACCCATCGTCATCTGGCTATCGGGGCTCCACGTGCCAGAATCTTTCCTCTTTGCGGTCGTCCAGTCAGCCTGCCGTCGCAACGCATGGCCTCTTGATAAGAGCATCACTGTTACCACGGTTACAGACTACACCAATGAGGAGGCAGTGGAAGACAGGAACCTGGCAGGCTGTTTATTAAATGGCCTCTTTCTTGAGGGAGCCAGTTGGAACCCCCGAGTTGGGTGTCTGTGTCTACAGGCTTCACGACAACGTATTCAACCACTACCGTTCCTGAAAGTGAGTGTGATGGAGAGTCGACGCGCAAAAAAACACGCCACTCTCCTGACACCCGTCTACGTCACTTCAGCAAGGGCTGATGCAGATGGAAGGGGCCTTGTGTTTGAGGCCGATTTGCCCATGGATCAGGAGTTTGGTGCTAACCGTTGGATTCTTCAGGGTGTTTGTCTCCTCCTGAATGATGATTGACAAAGTGGTTAATTTTATTCTGTCTCCATACCATTGATGGTTTGACTGCTCTGCGCTGTGTGTAAAATATACCAGAAATATCCTGTGGTCGTATTTTGTGGCATCTCATCAAAATACATGCTAAAATTTACTTGGAACTACTAAGAGCCTTAATGATTTTGTTCTGTTAAAGGTGACTTACGTAGGAGTGGTTTTGAGATCCAAAAAATAACGCACTGTCCTATGTAATGCGGCAAACGATTGTGGAATTTGTCTAACTAAATTTTCTGGAACTCAGTTTTTTAAACTTTTCTCCTTAGAGAATACTTCATTATTAAAAAGCAAAAACGTTTTCACTTTCTTTGCCACCAAAAGTAGACGGATTTAATGTGGAACGTTGTTCATAAATACATTGCCTCGTTCGATCAAAGTGATGTCCCAGCAGTTGTAATAGCTGAGAACCAAAAGAATTTTATTTACCTGCCCACTTATACTATTCTTTCCGAATCCTTCAGCACATTCGATAATTTTTACAAGTAGGACGCTAAATGCAGAAGCTCTTGAGGCTCTAAATAACACCTCGAAAAACATACATAGGAACAATAGCAGATTGCTTTCAAAGTGAAGGAATCAAAATTAATATTTTCGTATAGAACTATCATTTTGCTGAGTCCTTCACCAGTTTACGTGTAGCAGCAACGGCATACTCAGTATACAGTGCAGGATAAAAACGGCACTGCGATCGTAGGTCTCCAACGCCTCCTCTCTATATCGTTTCCAGTATTCAGAGGGAACTATCGGCAGCAGAATCTTCTCCACCTTATGCGCCCCTGATTTTGACTGATAGAGCACGTACTTTTAGGCGTCAGAAGAGTTCTTAGAGTAGATATTAGTGTTACTCCGTACTCACCACTCTAACATTGTAAGCATTAGCTTGGTGATGATTTCTAACGCGCAACTAAAAGCGCATTATTTATGGATAATACACGCCCCCGAGCATCCAATCGCTACGTATGCATACCAGCTAGAGATTCTTCGTTCATCTGAAAGGACGGACTTATTTCCTAAACTCCAATTAAATCACAGCTACTCTTGAATAATACGACAAAGCCTATTCCCACTTTTTCAACAACAAATGTCGCATTCGGTACTTTTGACGTGTGATTAACCATATGTTGCAGGTTCCTACCTTATTGGAGCTGTTTTAACAAGAGCGCTGCCCTCAGTCTAACCTGCTCAGCAAGTTTCTAAAACTTGGATCTTGATTGTGAGACTCTTTCCAGTGATCACCGACGGTCTTCGACTATGCCGGTGTTGGTAACCACTTTGTCCGTCTTTACTACGGTTTTTGGTTGGAGGATAAAAATTGGCCCAACATTTTGACTAAGCCTCTCCTCCATAGATCGGAGAGCATGTTTCGCACACTATATCAAAAATTGGATTTAACGCCTGTGAAACCTTACGCACCTCAGATTATTTCTTTCCACCTCACACAGTTAAAAGCCCGCAGCAGTCAAACCACGCCATGTAACGAGGGAAGTGGACATCTAAAGGCGCAATAATAGGTAATATCTCAAGTATTCCAACAGTATATCAGTGTCAGTAGGCAAATAATCAACAGAATGCACATAAAGTAAGGACTACAGACGTGCATACAATTTCAGATAGAAAAAGGAAACGGAAAACAACATTCGGGAATAATCATTAGAGCAAAATCAAATTAAAAGAAAATTAACCATAACCGGGATTGCATGATTACAGGCGCCATAGTTGGTTCAATAGAACCAAAGGGATTGCATACTTGCAGAGCTGAAAGGTCTAAATGCTTATCACAGAAAAGTCTACTCAATGCCAACAATTAGGAGACAGAGGAGACTGGGTTTGGTGAAGGGCCCATTTGACGCAGAACTCGATCGAGCCAAAACAGTGGACCTCGGAGGTGAATCTCAACCCAACAAGGCGTTGATGTGACATCTTGACGATGGTACTCAGCTCCCCATCCTTTCACAAAGCTCAGACGAAGAGTACAAACCTTGACAATGTCATAAACTGCCTCAACGCCCAGTGAGACAGTTTGATGAAGCAAACGAGCAAACTCACTGTTGGAGAAGACCTTCAGCGAACAACCCGGTGGTATTTTCACCACGGTTGTCGGGTGGAACCCGTGACTCTCATTGCAAAGACGAGACTGAACGAAAACGCTACTGTCTGAAAGACACTCGATAAAGGTATCACCAGCCACCGTGTATAGGTGAATACCTTTGGATGACGAACAGCAGATAAAGATATTTAGAATGTTTAAAAGGTAAATTAAATATTGCGCCTACCCTTGCCTATCTGCTTTCGCGTATTTTCCACAACAGGAGTACGATTGATGTTGGAAAGAATACCAAGGGAAAAACGGTCAGAGGTTTTTGATGGATTAGTAAATCCATCCACGAGAACGCTCGGTGATGAAGCAAAATAAGCCTCACCAACGCGAGTGTTCATTTCATAGTAGACGACGGTGCACCAGTACCTGGGCTCCTGGTAAGGAATGCTTTGAGCTGTAAGTGATAATCAAATAGACGAATAACTTACAGTCAAGAAATTCAAAAGATGTAGATTGACCCTCTTTGACTGTTGGATATTCGCTATGGCGAGGAACAAGAACAGGTGGTAGAACTACAAGTCAAATTCGCTCCAATAAACCTACCTGGATAATCAACACGCTTGTAATGATACGGGTTGATACAAATTTCCTTTTGCTTTGAATCAAACGGAAATTGACAACATTCTAGAGACTTCAATTCATGATGACTTTGGAGGTCTGGCCAGCGCCAAACACGACAGTAAATTACGTGTGGAAACCCCTTTCGATGGGAAACCTAGGGGATGGTATCGGAGTGTAATCGGGAGACTACTTGAATGCGACCGTCGAGAGATCTCGGAATGGAGACACATTCACTGGGTTCACCGGGATGTGACAGCGCATATTGTAGTCTATCAACAACTCCCTTCCGCTTTTTTAGCTTCTTTACGAGTGTTTCAATAGCCTTTTGGGCCCATTTCGATTCCTCGTCGCCTTGTTTCCAGCCGAGGGCACCAGTGAAAGGCAGATTGAATAAGTCGTGTTTCACTAAATCTATACTTTGATCCAGCATTAGAAGGACAGCATTGCCTTCTGTACACGAGCCTAATTAAAGCGCCAACGCTCTCCGACGGACCAATGGGAAAGCTGCAAGGCCATCAAAAGTTAGAACCTTCGCTGGTACTCCTTCAATATATATATATATATATAAATTTGCTACAGTTCATACCAAGAGCAGGTAATGGTATAGTTTTAAGATGCAGATCTTACTACTTTAGTGAGGAATGACTCTAACATGTAGATCTTCGGACGACCCTGACCGCAACCAAACCAGTAGTCAGAAAACAATTTCCTCTTCGTTTAAGTCCCGTTTTCTAAGCTCCAGTTCTCGAAATTTTTTACGACGTAATCGTCTAAGATGACGCTTGTGATTTAGTTGTGGTAATAAGTAGATTTTTGTGGCATTTAAACGGTGCCTTGTCTCAATGCCTTTAATTGTCTGTTGGCAGTTTCAAGGACCACTTATTTTCTTTTGGTTGACCAGTAAGTAGGACGGCCCTAAGCAGATTTGTGGAACGAAGTACGAGATATAACACTATTATGTGGGGAAAGGTTAATGTGCGCTTACACATTGTTGACAAATTTATGTGGGTATAGGTGGGAAAATCCCTTACTAAACTTTTCCACATGTTTTACAACTTGAGTCCCTTCCCTCTTTAGTTTTCTTTGCTGAAGGCCAGACTAGTTTAGGTGATGAAGTTTAAACGACATCCTCAGCCCCTCTGTTTGGAGTTATCATTGAATCGTCCATCCGCAGCATATGCACTTGATCCACCCTGATTAGGTTTTTATCGCACAGCATCAGATATACTCATTGATGCTCCCTAAAATCAGGCTTGTTTGTCACTCTCTGAGACTATTCTGTAATCAGGAGGGCAGATATTTTTAAACTTATTATTGTTGTGCCTTTACGTCAAAGAATCCCTGTGGACTTGAATTTTCTTGCAATCCAAAGCATGGCTGACCCAAACGTCAAGGAATAACTCTCGTGATTTTTGCAGGCCGATGAACAATAAGGCCATTACTACCCCTCATCTATTATAGGTCTACCATGTATATGGTTTGGTGTTTGCCAACACAAGCATCATTTCCTGAACATATGTCAGCGGAACATACTCGTGCTTAAGTAAGACAGTAAGAAGGCTGATTTCCAGCAGCCGCGCAAAAGTTCCTCTGTTCTGTGTGAGATTATGTTAGCATGTAAGTTTCAAGTAATGCCACCACTCCAATAAGCTTTACTGACCAAAGTAATCTAAGCATTTAGGGTTTATCATCGATAATATCCTACTGAAATCTCATTAAATGCATGTCGTAAGTGTACCTTCATAATGATCAACTTGTGGAATAGTCCAGAAGTTTATATAGATTTAGTGTTTTAAACCAAAAACATCATATCTGTTGCCCTTCTGACCCTAGTCCTGCCTTACTAGAGCTGTGATCTCACTTAGATCACATTCATAAACTAATCGTAAGTCAGTTGCTGATTATTCTGCTCAGCTTTTCAGTCTAATAATTTTGGCATCGCACTCATATTAAACCACATTTCATTGTCGTTAATGTGTTCGGATACTCTCGTTTCAAGCTGGACAGAAGAGCTGTTGAGCTCTCGGCCCAATTTATTAAGGCAGAGGGCTACGACACAAAGGTGATGATATAAACCCTCAGATATGGAAGATAGTGTGGTGAAGTACCTAGCCAAAGCAGTCAGAAGTTATTAAAGAGGCCTAACAGCGTGATTTTAAGTTCACCTTTACTCATGTATTTCCTTTTCATATCGTGTACCTACTTTTAAATTGCTGCTTGATGAAAACTAGCAACGCACAGAGCATTACGGAAGACGCATTTGCTACCTATACCTACTTGGTCGTGAACAGAGGTGAAGGCAAGGATTTGGGGTTCCATCTGCGCACCTGCATTCGCGTTCAACCGCTTGCCCAATGAAATACCCGTGTGCCGTTGGAAGGTCATTAAAAATTCCCCATCTGATTGGTGCACACACGCTGTGCCTCATTGATCTTCCCTGTATTGAACCAAAGCGAAGGAAAACCAACGGCCCTACTGCAAATGGCCCTGCGTTCGGCACCAACTTCACATAAATCGTAGACTGCTTGTGTTTACGCAAAGCTAGCGTCAGTTTTGCCTGCTTTCTGATCAAAGATGTCCAACAAATGTGGCTGCTGCGATAAGCCTGTCTACGCGGCGGAGGAACGTCGTTTTGGCGATGTTGTCTACCACAAGCAGTGCTTCAAGTGCTGTAAGCTGTTTTGTGAAGATTATAATTAAAAACGACAGCCTCTTACTGGGAGTGCCTGTAACCTTAATCACCGATTTTCATCCGATTTCAATTGCCTTAGCAGCACAATTTAAATTCTCAACAATGCCAGAAACATCGACAACAGACAGACGGCTGTACCTACCGTAAAACGTCACTGAGTCACATAAGCACGCTTTGACAACTACGTAAAGTGAATTTCACATGATGTCGATGGGTTAGTCACGAGTTTGAAAGGATGCTTTTTGTCCTTTATTTGCGCCATTAACTGATGGTGGTTTTTAAAATGTCAAAACAAGAAATATACTGATATCAAGGCGTGAACAAATTATTAAACGCTAAAACATTTTCCTACATGAAAGGGCTCTTGGAAGCAGGTCTTTTTAAGATTCATGGGACATGATTAAAATCCATTTGGAAGTTAGTTCGGTTACTGAGTCTCTCCCTTTTCAAATTTTACTTTCTTAAAATATTTTTAGCTCTGTGCAACAAGCCTGTAGACAGTACCACAGGAGCACAGCACCAACGCACCCTCTACTGCAAGACTTGTCATGGTCGCGAGTTCGGAATCAAAGGCTACGGCTTCGGTCAGGGGGCCGGTGTCCTCAACACCGAGAAAGCCAAAGGACCTGGCACCGACGGTGGCGCTGCGTAAGTTTTTCGTCGAAATTCGTGGTTGGCCATTACTTAACAAGACGTGAAAAAAAATGCTTCCGTGCCTGTACGTGTTGGTGAGTTGAAGAATTGGGTATTAACTTGTGAATCCCGATTCTTAAACAAATGACGGACCAGGTTTTAGCAGATTTATAACAGGTAATATCTTGCATATTAACGCTACTAGATGGTGTCTCAAATGTGGCACATGCTGGTTCCCTTTTCTACATTTGTCAATTCCTTATTCACATAACCCAGAGCATAACTCATTGACCTGACTCCCATACAATGCACAAGTGCCTGCGCCTCCAACCCCTCATTGGCATTTAAGCCGGCCACCAATAATTTATTGCTGCACTGCACCGGTCTTATATTGCTATGCCAGTCGTATATATGGAAGAAATTTGACGCTGCAGGCGGAGTGAATTGGGTTCATTGGAAGTGTGACTGAACTGCACAAATCTAGTTGAATAACTCCTGAAAAATTGTTTCGTAATTGCCAGATTCACTCATTGTATCAAAAGCTACTAACGCTTAGGCTTCCCTCCTTTTTCCTTTCTTTCTTTTCACATTTTAATAGTCGATTGAGTTCGATGATTTGCTACGAGCTGAAGCTTCTAAGCCTCTACTGTAGGGGTTGTCTAATGGGTTGCCTGGGCCAAAGAATCTGCAAGAGGTATAAAATGGTTAGTGACGCTGACTGACTAAGTGATTAGTCATGTGAGCGAGGTGATCAGCGTAGGATCCGCAGTGTGATGGAAAAATAGCTTGCTAAGGTTTTATTGCCTTCTGCAATTTATCCAAGCACCCTATATATTTCCCCAACCGCACCTCTTCATCCGCTTTTCTCCCCTCAGTAGCGGGCCCAAGCCTGGTCAGCCGAGAACAGTGAGTCCCAAATCGGGTGGCTGTCCCCGTTGTGGCCAACGTGTCTACGACGCTGAAAAAGCTATCGGATGCCCTGGTGATGTAAGTCAAATGTCTAAATCCCCTCCAACTCATTTTAGCCCAAAACCCTAGCCAAAAGAGTAATGGAATTGAGTTAATAACCCGCGGTTGAAATATTTAGAACTGCTGTTTGAGTTCTTCAATTAAAAATTGGTTGTATAGCTCGGTGTCCCTCCATGACACCAAAATATTAGGAGGAGAAAAGCTAGTTAGCAAATAGCACTGCAAAAAGCATAGACGACCCATCTAATCTTAAAATAATGCTTTCAGCTGAAGTTCCACAAGCGCTGCTTCCGTTGTCAGACCTGTGGCAAGTCCCTGGACTCCACAAATCTCGCAACGAAAGACGTTGAAATTTACTGTAAAAGTAAGTTATCCCGATGGTCATTTAGATACCCGAATCAGCCTTTCTGACAAATAGTATTATTCAAGTATGGGTTTTTATTTTGATTATTTTGAGGGAATTTTACAAATGAATTGAGTGCATTTAATTTTATTGGAGGTTGATGTCAGGAAAATCATTCATTGAATCACTGAGTAAACAGATTCTTTAGAATATTTGTAGCCATAATGCTGTATGAATTTGGAATAGCCGCTAATAAAAACTACTGAAGTCACTTGTCGATCGGATGTTGCCTAAAGCCTGCTAAGGGGGATAAGATGCAGGTTAAGCACTCCTCTTCCATTCTCAAAAGAACTCCCCCACCACAGCTGTTAAGCATTGCCGTTTTTAATCAACACAATCAATCCAAAAACCATAAACGATAACCTATTCTTAATCAAGAACTCTCTGCATTACTTCGCTGTAAATGTGATTTGATTTCATTGGTGTCATGCATTTTTGAACTGTGGAAATTTAAGCGGCTTTAATACGTGACGACGTAAACGAATGTTGATGATCAAAGATGACCCTTCCTGCCCTCGTTTCTGTCAGCCTGCTACGGTAAAAATTTTGGACCCAAGGGATTTGGCTTTGGTCAGGGCGCCGGCACCCTCAACATGGGCTAACGGAACTAAAGGCGTCTCATGATGGATTCATCGCCTTCGCTTGGCGTCGATGGCACGAATGCATATTTTATTGATACTTCTTCATTTTCGCCCTTTTTCTCTTCTCTTTCAGCACTTAGTCGCCTTGTTTC